AGTGAAGAGAACAGTGGATTAGAGAGGATGGGGTGGGAGGAATAAATAGGCAGAACAGAGGATTTTTAAGGCAGTGAAACTATCCTGTATGATACTGTTTGCCAAAACCTATAGAGTGGGCACAGCAAGAGGGAATCCTGATGTAAACTACAGACTCTGGGTGATAAGGATATAGCAATGCAGCAACAGTTCTAACAGTTCTGGGAGGCGCTATTGGTAGTGGGGGGCATTGTGTATACAGGGAGCGAGTGGTCTATATGGGAACTCTCTCTACTTTCTGCTCAGTTTTGTTGTGAACCTAAAACTGCTTTAATTTTTTCTTTTTTAAAGGGCACAGGTTAGCCAGCTGCTGTGCTAGAACCTATGAGGAATCAGCACATCTCAGCCAGGCCGGAGAGTTTCACTGCCTCCTGACAGGTACTGTCTCGCAGTCCATAACTTAGGGTCTGTCTTATGTGAAACCTCATTTGCACACACTAACTTCTAGAGCAGCTAGAATCTTTTGAATCATTCAGAAACCCATTGTAAACCCAGGCTTAATAAAAAAATGAGAATCTCCTGCCAAAAGAGTGGAAAAGTGTAAAAATGAGACTCGATTCAGATATGACTAAACCCAAATACTTAAAAGATGCAGTTAGGCTTGGCTGGTGTGGTCAGTGGTTGAGTATTGACTCATGAACCAGGGGATCACGGTTTGGCCTGCGTTTAAGGTTTAATCCCAAGTAGGGGATGTACACGAGGCAGACGATCAATGATTCTCTCTCATCATTGAAGTTTCTATCTCTCTCTCCCTCTTCCTTTCTCTCTCTGGAAAAAAAAAAAAAAAGATGCAGTTAGATCTCTACCTACCTACCTACCTTTCTACCTAGCTACTTCTAGACTCATCTGAATAAGCCATAATTAGAAGAAAGAATACTCCTTTCTCAGAAAAATTCAAGCTGCTGTTTCACTTGGTAGATGTAGCTACTAGCCCATAAAACAACGGTTGTCCATATAACATTTGTTTCTAAAAGTTTGTTTGTGTCACTGGTGCTCCACATGCTAATTTTGGGTAGTAACCAGACATTTATTTGAATTTTCAGATTTGTGTGAATTTTCATGTGTATTAAAAATAACTAGGGCATCGCCTTAGCTGGTTTGACTCAGTGGATAGGGCCTGCAGAATCGGTCTGCAAACGGAAGGGTCCCAGGTTCAGTTCTGGACAAGGCCACATGCCTGGCTTGTGGGCTCGATCCCCAGTAGGGGGATGCAGGAGGAAGCCAATCTATGATTCTCTCTCATCATTGATGATGTTTCTATTTCTCTCTGCCTTTTCCTTCCTCTCTGAAATCAATAAAGAAAATAAAATGACTAGGGCACCAAAATTTCTTATTTATTCAGATGAGGCTGAAAGAGAAAGAGAGGAAAAAATCCCCTTCACATGACTAGAATGAATTTTAGGTTATGATGCTCAGGCATATATGCCAATGTGTCAAACCTTTGGTCATCTGAATTGCAGAGAAATCTAGTCCCTATTGCATAATGAGGGGAAATGTTTGAGGTAATTTAAGTCCCTCAAGAATTCTGGAAAAGTCCATTTCAGGTAATTTCTCATAAGGCAGCTTTTGAAATGAAGTCAAATAATACAAATGGCATTCGGGTTTTGCTTTCCATATTGCATTGATAAATGAATGATTTACTCTTGTGGAATGTGAAACCAACTCAGTCTTATTTTGTAGCAACAAGAGGAGTTTGAATGACTGAGATATACTGTATAAGCCCTTGAGTGTAGTGTTGAAAATCTTTATCCCACTGAGAAGAAACAGTGTTATCCTATATAATAAAAGGGTAATATGCAAATCGACCAAACAGTGGAATGACCAGTCACTATGATGCACACTGACCACCAGGGGACAGACGCTCAGTGCAGGAGCTGCCCCCTGGTGGTCAGTGCACTTCCACTGTGGGTGAGGGGAGCGCCGCTCAGCCACATGCCAGGCTGATGGCTGGCAAGTGCAGTGGCGGTGGTGGGAGCAGGCCTAAGCCATCAGTCGAACATCTCTTGAGGGTTCCCAGACTGCTAAAAGGTACAGGCTGGGCTGAGAGACACTACCCCTCCCCCAAGTGCACAAATGTCATGCACTGGACCTCTAGTTTTAGTATAAAGTAAAATTAATTACATGACTGGTTCATCTATAGCTATGCTTCTGGTCCACCAAAATTATGTAACTATTCTTGATCCTTCTGATTTGTTCTTATGCAGTTCAATTTCCAAGAAAAAGCAAGCTTTCTCCAAAGTTTAATTACTTTTAAAGTTTAGTTCAAATTCTATTCCAGGAAGAATTTTTTTCATTTCCTTTAAGTGCTTACTATTTGTTTCTCTGTGGTTTCATTAAGAGAAGTAATCCAACCAAATGAGAAATGAAAGTAACAGCCTATCCCACAGAAATACAAAGGACTATGAAAAAATACTATGAACAACTCTTTTCTAACAAAATGGACAACCTGGATGAAATGGACATATTCTTAGAAAAATACAAGCTCCCAAACTCAACCAGGAAGAATCAAAACACCTGAATAGGCTGATAACTACTGAAGAAATTGAAGTAGTAATCAAAAATCTTCCAGCAAACAAAGCTCTGATCTGGACAGCTTTACATGGGAGTTCTATCAAACATTCAAAGAAAAACTAAAATCTACCCTCCTCAGACTATTCAAAAAAAAAATTCTAGGAAGTGCTCCAGACACAAGACCCATTTAAAAAAATCTTTACCTGAGAATATTTTTTTCATTGATTTTTAGAGATAGTGGAAGGGGGGCAGAAAGTATAGAGAAAGAAAGAGAGATAGGAGAGAGAGAGAAAAAGAGAGAGAAAGAGACATTGACCTGAGAAAGATATATCAATTGGTTGCCTCCCGCACACATCTGTACTGGGACTAGGGAACCTGCCGCCATGGTATATGCCCTTGACCAGGAATGGAACTTCTGACCCTTTGGTCTGAGGGTTAATGCTCTAACCACTGAGGAACTGGCTATAGTTCAAGGGCCATTCTTATATGGCTAAGTAGGGACTGAAAATCTGCATGCACAACAATGACTTTTCTGACACTTTTTATTTTTATTCTTTACTAGAGGCCCAGTGCATGAAATTCATCCACTGGGGAGGGTGTCCCTCGGCCCAGCCCCTCCAATCTTGAACCCCCACATCCCATTCTCTGGATTTCCTCTTGCACTTCCTCTCTGTGTCACATCTTGAATGGGCACCCTGTGGCCCACCCACATGGCCACCCGGCTGCCTGATAGAGTCTGTCTCCGCGAAGCTGTGAATCTGTGGCCAGAGGCCCTGTCTGGGTCTCAACAACCCCACACCTACAATGTTCCCAGGGTCCCACTTGAGTGGCTAGGTGGGCGGCCATGCCTTCCCTGGGTTGCGATGTTCCCAAGGCCCCATGGGAGTGGCTAAGCAGGCCCAGCCGCTCCTCCCCTGAGCTGAGATGTTCCTGGAGCCCCACAGAAGTGGCTAAGCAGGCCCAGCCACTCCTCTTGGGGGCGGTGATGTTCCCAGGACCCTGCAGGAGTGGCTAGGCAGGCCATTGCCCTTCCCAGGGCCTGTGATGGACCCGGACCATGGGGGTGGTGGCTGGTGCTGCCCACCCTGTCTCTCAGGGCCCTGATTGACTGGTACCTTGCCAATGGTGTCTGGCACTGCCTGCCAGGCCTCCCCCACAGATAGACCTGGACCCCAGGGGTGGGCCATGGCACTGCCTGTCTCTCCTGTGTATGCAAATTTACCTGCCAGCTTTGATGGGTTAATTTGCATAGTCACTCTGATTGGCTGATGGGTGTGGCTTGGCATAGCAGAGTGATGGCTAATTTGCATGTTTCTCTTTTATTAGTGTAGATTGCCCCTTCACTGAGAGCTGGTTTGGGAACTGCAATGAAAAGTATAATTCCCAACCTACTTTCTTTTTCTTTTCTTTTCTTTTTTTTTAAACTGTTAAGAAAATTTTTGTGGTTTTATTGTATCATGAGGCATTGAAACATCTGAACAAATCAATGTCTGGATGGTAAGGCAGCTGCTTTCTCCTTCACTCCTTTGGGTTACTAGAGCAACTTGTCAGTAGATTAAAAAAAAAAAAAAAGACAACCTTTTGATTCACAATACCTAGGTAGCAGCAGCATACTGTGCCCGCCCCCACCTCGGTCCTGCTCGTTTGTGTATGATATTTGGAACACCTGGAGGAGTGTGAATAGTATCTGGAAGAGGAGGGAGGAGGAAACAGCATGAGTGCCTGGTTTGGAGGAGGTCAGCCGAAGATGTGCAGGGCAAGCCTGAACTTGTCATTGGTGCAAACCCAATCATCATTGATGTCCTTCAATAGGAACATCTGGTGGAACCCCATGATGGGGTCTTCATCAGCCTTAAGCTGGCCCACAGCCATGCTGAGGATGCAGCTATCTGGCGTGAGATGGTGGTCCTGTGCCATGATGCTGTGCTAGATTTTCTGGAACGGAAGGCTAGATAACTTCTTCACCAATGGCAGCTTCCCCCTGGAATTGCTGACCTTCTCATCATGATGTGTCAATGTAAACTGCGCCTAGTTGGGTTCTATTGTTATCAGATAACTGGTAGTAATGTTGAATGAAGCTGGATCCAATCTGCTCCCAAATTGGCGTGTCTTGCATTCTGGAGCCTTCACTGAGAGCTGGTTTGGGAACTGCAACAAGAAATATAATTCCCAACCTACTTTCTTTTTCTTTTCTTTTCTTTTTTTTTAAACTGTTAAGAAAATTTTTGTGGTTTTATTGTATCGAGAGGCATTGAAACACTCGTGCCAGCCACTCGTTGAAACTGGAATGGCTGGCATGATGGCGGCAGCGGTGGCGGCAAACCAGCGCGGTCAGTAACCGACTGTTCCTTCCCCCCTACCTTCTCTCGCCACCCCCGCTGCACTCTCTCCCAACCTACTTTCAAATCCAGCCACAACTCTCAGATCTCCATTTTCTCTGTGTATACCAAGTGCTCTTCCTCTTCTTCTGCCTCTCTCGTGACTGCAAGGCTTGCTCCTACTCCTACTTCCTTCATGCTCTAAACATCTCCAGCCCAGGCCTCTCTCCTGGGTTCTAGACTGAGATCTCTAATTGCCAAGGAGTCATTTTGGCTGGACCTTCTGCAGGTGTCTCTATATATCCAAAACTGAATTTATTATTTCTCCATTTAAAAAAAATATATACATTTTATTGATTTTTCATAGAGAGGAAGTGAGAGGGATAAATAGCTAGAAACATCAATGAGAGAGAATCATTGACCAACTGCCTCCTGCACACCCCCCACCGGGGATGTGCCCGCAACTAAGGTATATGCCCTTGGCCAGAATCGAACTGGGACCCTTCAGTTCTCAGACCAATGCTCTATCCACTGAACCAAACCAGTTTAGGCTATTTCTCCATTTTAATCGGCCTCTTCTGTGCTTGCTTTTCATTGAGTGGCACTTCGGTCACTCATCCGGTCCCAGAAGTGTCCGCAGACTTCCTGACGCATCTTTGACACCTCTATCTAGAGCTCTTCCTGTGTCAAAAGATTTCTGCACACAGGCTCCCCTAGTTACAAGAAAACCATGTCTCAGAAGCCAGCGTATGGTCAGGTTGTAACTGCACAACCCTAGCAGGTGCCATTCAGATGTTAGACATACCTTTTATGTCTCTGATACCGTGGAACTGTTCCTTAGATTTTTTGTGTTTTATGACATCAACATTTTGAAGAGTACTGACCAGTTATTTTGTAGAATTAAAACCAAGGATCCTAGGACTTTGATTAAATTTATCTTTAAATCCTAGTTCTAAGGAATCCTCTCTACTTTCCCCTCCCCTCTCCTCTCCCCTCCCCTCCTTTTCCTTTCTGCCTCTCCCCTCTTCTCCTCTTCTCTTATCTCTTCTTTTAAGCTCGTTCTCTCTCCTCCTGACCTTCAGAGCTCTAGCCTTTCCCCCGGAGCATCAGCAGCCCCTGAGGCAGCAGAAGACAGTATCTCGAACCTGACTAATGGTCACATGGTCAGGACCTATGGAAGGCTAAAGATAACATCTTGATTTAGGTTATGTTTCTGTTCCCAGGCCTTCAAGGGAAACAACTCCCTATCTACTGTCCTATGACTGGACAGAGGAATGTCGGAACAGACCTCAGAACTGTCCTCAGGATGCGAAGAAATGACTCTATCCTCTCCTCATCTCTGACAATCAACTCCCAGAATGACCCGGAAGCCCTAACCCAGAGTCTTATGATTTTTCCCTATATAATCTGTAGCCTACACACCATTGGGGGGTTTGGGCTTTTGAGCATTAGCTTTCTGCTCTCCTGGACAACACCATTCATGAATAAAATAGCCAATGTTTCTCTAGGCAATTCTTGGTGTCTAGTGTTTGGTTCTATTAGCCCTGAGTGGATGAACTCTTCCTGTTCTGTAACAGAATGTTCCTCAATTTGGGTTTGTCTGATGTTGTCTCACCATTAGATTCAGATTGTTCACCTTTGGCAGGAAAATCACTAAAGTGTTGCTGTGTTTTCAGTGCATCATGAGGCACAAGATATTGACTTGTCTCTGTACTGATGATGTTAACTTGGCCAGTAGGCTAGAGGGGTGTGGTAGACGTTCATTTCTATATATTTCTTCTTTACATTTCAGTTTACTTCATTAGGGCTTACAAAGGAGACAACTAATAGATATTTGTTATAAACTAAAAGTGGAAAATACTAGAAAATCTTCCAGCAGAGAGTACATATGAGAAAGTATTATATAAACTGAAAAAGTGCCCAAATCAAGATAAAGGATTACTATACATTTTAGCAATGATTCTACTTTGAACATTTCTCAGGAAAAAGTTATTTAATATGTGAAAAGGTGAGCCTCTCAGCTTTTTCATTGGATGTTGTCAGGTAAAACCATCACATGAAAGAAGCATCAACCCAAAGTCAAATGCCCTAGGACAGTGGTCGGCAAACCATATGCTGCTCTCTGGCCCCTTGAGTGTTCTAATGCCACGTCTTCAAAATAGACTCGCCTAGGTTGAAAACTGACTTCTGCACATAGGCCACGAAGTTTCAATCGCATTGTATGTGCGTGCCCGCACGTGGTATTTTGTGGAAGAGCCATACTCAAGGGGCCAAAGAGCCACATGTGGCTCACAAGCCGCGGTTTGCTGACCACTGCCCTAGAACTCCTGATGAAGAATAACTTTTATTTTCTTAAAATCTTCTGATTTCAAGTCATTCACACATACTTTAGATAAATTACTGAGTTTTAATGTACTTTTTTTTTTATGAGGGAGGGAGTGGGGAAGGAAGGACACAGATAAAAGAAGAACTCAGGGTTCCTGAATAGTTGGGATATAAAATACAATGCACTTAGCATAATGCATAATACTTGGCAAAGTAAATGTGAAAAAGACCAATTATTGTGAAAATAGCCTCCATCAATACTCCCTGTAGGGGAGGTAGGATACATATTTGTTATTGTCTCTAGTTTAGATTTGGTCATTTTCTCCAAAACCCTATAAATCAAGCCAGATATGGAGTTGGTGCCTGCTTTTGGGTTACCACTTTATTGCTCTGTCTTCTACATTATGGCCATAACCTTGTGTTTTCTGCTTGAAAACACCATTTTACATTTATATGCATATATAGTTTTTATTTAAATTTTTTATAGATTTCACTCAGATCAAAAGTGATTATGCCAAAGATAACGGCCTGTATTTAATATCAATTAAGTAATTTTGTTCTTTATTCCTTGTGTGGAAAACAAAGTTCCCAATAGCATGAAAGGTGACCTGAGTGTGACTTCAAAGCAGAGCCACATATCCATGTTGTAGGCACCAGCAGTAAACATCTCTCCAGTCTGAATGCAGGGGCGTGCTCACCGATCATAATGGCAGAAGCAAAGCAACATTTATTTTATCCACAGCAACCTTCCTTTGACCAGAGATCATACCAACACGTATGATTCATTCTGCTGAAAACGTATCATTTTGGAAAATCTGTCGGAGATCAGTGAGTCTTCCTGGGGCATGCAGTTTTCTAGTTGCAGCTTCCCGTTTATCAAACGGTTTCTCAGTTTCAAATATTTAACTTAATGAATACACCTTGCCATAATGTGAAGAAAGATGTATTCATTTCCTTCGGTTGGCCATTTTCTTTGGTTAGCTGTTATATAGTCCAGAAACCCAAGGGAATCAGAACATTGCTAAATAGTTAAACAACTAAATTGCCTAATAATTTGAAAAGGGCACAGGTAGTAGGAGAGAATGCTAGTAGAAGGCTCCCAAGGCAATGTCTGTTCTTGGAACTTTTCCTGCTTTAGGGGACCCAGGAGCAGGGTAGCAAATCCATCCAATACTACCCTCCAAACTCTATACTCTCCCTCCTTCTCTCTCTCTCTCTCTCTCTCTCTCTCTCTCTCTCTCTCTCTCTCTCTCTCTCTCTCTCTCTCTCATTTCTTTTTCCTGAGGTTTTTTTGTGTTTTTTTTTTTATTGTGGAAAAAATTTAACATTAATCTTTTAACTTAATTTTTTTCCTTCATTTTAAAAGCGAGGCCTGGATGCTCACAAATCAAAAATAACCTTTAGAAGAAAACCTTTTAGTTCTTCCTTGATGTGTAAATGCAGATAATACTATACTTATTTTTCTTTTCTTTAGTGACACAGGACTGCTATTAATTGAATTCTAGATTAAATCATAGTGTCTTGGTTTTCATCACCACAGCTAGTCTGTGGCCAAATTGTAAAATGGGTAATGATTTGTTTCATTTTTTCCCCACCTCTCCAAAAATCTTTTGAGGACTAAGCTCTTGCTCAGCCATCTTACTTCTGTGTGGTATGGCACGTCTCCATGCTCTGCACCCACCTCCTGTAAAAACTGCTGGAACTGGCGATGATTCAGGCCACATGCCCATATAAAGTTAATAGTTTTAATGACTGTGGTCATTATGTCATTCATGTCCAGAACTTTTCCACACATAGCCTCTTGGTGGATAATGCAATGATAAGTAATCAAGGGTGTGTGGCAGTGACTTTTTTGCATTCTTTCCTTCATTAGTCCAACCAAGCCTTTCTTTTCTCCGCACATTGAAGGTGCGCCATCGGTAGTTAGCCCCACCAACTTTTCCCAGGGTAATTTAAAATTATTTATAGATTTCTCCACAGCCTCAAATATATCTCTACCAGTTGTCGTCCCATGCATGGCAGCTACATCCAAAAGTTCCTCAGTGACAGAGAGGTCGGTCTTCGTAGCACGTATAAAGATGGACAGCTGCGCTGTATCAGTGTTGTCTGTGCTTTCATCGATAGCAAGTGAAAAAGCGAGATAACTGCATGCCTGTTCGGCCAGCTGTGATGATAGATTTCCTGAGAGTTCTTGAACTCTTATCTGCAATGGTGTTTCTTGACAAACTGACATTTTGAAAACTCTGTATCTGGTCTGGGCATACTTGCTCACACACTTTTAGCATGCATTGCTTCAAAAAGGCACCCTCTGAAAAACACCTTGAAGTATGGGCAATTTCTTCAGCCACTATAAAGCTTGCTTTCACTGCAGCACCATTTTTTGCTGTAGCCTTTGTAAACATTTGCTGCTATGATTGTAGTTTGCCTTTTAGTTCTTTAACAATTTTATGCTTTTCTTCCAAAGTATATTTGCCATACTTAACATTATGTTTGGTGTCAAAATGACGACGTATATTGTACTCTTTCATCACTGACACTGTCTCATAACACAATATACACACTGGTTTGCCCTCTCTAAGCACAAACATGTATTCATTTTCCCATTTGTCATTAAATTGTCTGCCTTCACCGTCAACTTTTCTTTTCCTGGACATTTTGGGATCAATATTGGCAGTAAAAGATGTAGTTTATTGGAAATCTGTGTTAGAAGGAAAAAGTTGAAAACTGCACAGGGATAGCTTGATTTGGCAGATGGAGTGGAGAAAAAAAAGTCAGTCAATAAATGCCTGGCTGGGTACAGATAGCAGATTCTGTTGCAATTTTTATGCCTGCACTTTATGCCAGGAACTGGCAGCTTCTGCTGTGTATTTTTTATGCCCGCACACTCACTCTCTCCTCTGCTCTGCCACCCGCACAACCACATCGGATGTCGGACTATAGGTCACACCTCCTGAATCTTGCATGACTTGTTATCTAAGCGCATGTGTAATAGATAGCAGGTACGGCGGCTGGCGAGGCGGCCAGCGAGATCACAAGCCTCCTATGTCACCGCGCGTCATTGTGATGGAACGCAGCGGAGTGTAGTGATGACAGAGTGGTGCGGGCCACATTGCAAGGCCTGGCGGGCCGGGTTTGGCCTGCGGGCCTTGTGTTTGACATGTGTGGTATAGAGGATCTACCTAATAAACCATAGTTACAAATCCAAACAGACTACCAAAATGAGGAAACAAAGAAATAACCCCCAAATAAAAGAACTAGTAAATTCCCCAGAAAAAGAGATAAGTGAAGCAGAGATAAGAACTTTATCTGAAACAGAGTTTTGAGTAATGATGTTAAAAATCCTCAACAGTATGAAAAAAGATATAGTAACTATGAAAAAAGAACAGTCTGAGATAAAGACTGACATAAGACAAATGAAGAATACATTGGAAGGAATACACAGCAGATTAGGGAAAGATGAGGATCAAATCAGTGAATTAGAAGACAGAGTTGAAAATATCACTCAATTAGAGAACCAAAAAGAAAAGACAATTAAAAAACAGGAGGACAGCTAAAGGGTGCTGTGGGACAATGTGAAATGTAACAACATTAGAATAGTAGGTGTGTCAGAAGAGGCAGAAAGGGAGAAAGGAATAGAGAAGGTGTTTGAAGAAATAATGGTAGAAAACTTCCCTAACTTGGTAAAGGAAAAAGTCACACAAGTTCAGGAGGCACAGAGGATCCTAAACAAGACAAAATGAACCCAAACAGACCCATGCCCAGACACATCATAATTAAAATCCCCAAAATTAAAGACAATGAGAGAGTCTTAAAGGCAGCAGTTGAAAAGAAAACTGTTACCTACAGAGGAGATCCCATAAGGCTAATATCTGATTTCTCATCAGAAACTCTATAGGCCAGAAGGGAATGACATGAAATACTCAAGGTAATGGAAAGCGAGGATCTGAGACCAAGATTACTATATCCAGCAAGGCTATAATTCAAAATAGATAGTCAAATAAAGAGCTTCCCAGACAAAAATAAAAAAAAATAAAAATAATAATAAAAATAAAAAAAAAGCTAAAGGAGTTCATCACCACCAAAGTCAGCATTACAAGAAATGCTAAAAAGATTGCTGAGAAGAAGAAACAGAGAGAGAAACCTAGCCATAAAGAATTAAAATGGCTATAAATAAGTTCATCTCAATAATAACTCTGATATAAATGGATTAAATGCTCTAATCAAAAGGTGTAGGGTAGATGAATGAATACAAAAACATGACCAAACTATATGCTGTCTAAGAGACCCACCTCAAAACAAAAGACACACAGGATGAAAGTGAAGGGATGGAAAAAAATTTTCATGCAAATGGAAAGGAGAAAAAAAAAAAAGCTGAAGTAGCAATACTCATATCTGACAAAATAGACTTTAAATGCATCATGCTAACCAAAATAAGCAAGTTGGAGAAAGATAAATATCATATGATCTCACTCATTTGTGAAATACAATGAACAACATGAACTGATGAATAAAAATAGAGCCAGAAGGAAAAAATATTCTCTAATGTAATAAAAATAATCTTACTCTAAATGATCAGGCTCAGCGGATAGAGCATTGGCCTGCAGACTGAAAGGTCCTAGGTTCCATTCTGGTCAAGGACATGTACCTTGGTTGCCAGCACATTTCCAGTAGCAGGTGTGCCGGAGGCAACTGACCAATGTTTCTCATAGATGTTTCTAACTCTCTGTCCCTCTCTCTTCCTCTCTGTAAAAATCAATAAAATATATATATTTTTTAAAAAGAAGTAATCCTGCTATTTGCAGATTTTTAATATTTCCTACAACTTTTGTGATATCATACTATGTTAGTACAGTTTTGGTAGTATTATTATACGTAAAATCCTTTTATTCTTGAAATATTAATGTTTATTTTGAAATAAAATGTAAAATCAATAAAAAAATTGTTTTAAGAAAAGAAGGAAAGGTGAAGAGAAAAGAAAAAAAAGTTTAGGCGTAGAATTTGGGTTAGTGTTAGAATTAGGGTTTTACATCTGTAAAAAGGTTCTTTTCACCAATTAAAACTGATATAGTTGAGTCATCCCCCCCCCCCCCCCCCCCCCCCCAGTTTTCAAATTTTTCCAGAGTGTGCTTTATGGGGAAACAAGTTTATCAAGTTACGTCACCAATTCAAAAAGAAAAAGAAAAAGAAAAACAAAAACAACAACAAAAAAACATGGTAAAAGATTTTTTAAAATGTTTTGAGAACCCTGCATGACTTACTGTGCAAAGAAAGCCATGAGACCTAGCACAACTTTGGGAGAAAAAATTAATATTGAAGACACTGTCTTATTTTCGGGGAAACAGGGTAGTTAAATGCCCCTGACAGATCTGTGCTCAAATCCTAGCTTAGCCAGTACTCACTAGTTACATCATGACTTAACTTTTCTAATCCTAAATTTCTTATATGTGTGTAAAATTGATTATCCCATATCTCATAAGTACAATGCAAGGCATAAAAAGCACTGAGCACAGTGCCAGGCATGTGGCAATCTGCAATAATCCGTAACAAGTAAATACATAGAAATAAGTGCCTTAGGTTGCAGGGGACGGGCAGATGATTGTGTAATTTTCTTGCAACAGAACACTTTTTCCTTTTAGCTAAGACCCAGGGAAAAACCATGAGTTGCATTT